ATTGGAAAAAAGTCATGTTATCCAATGAATCACATTTCTGGTTACATCATGCAGATGGTAGAGTGAGAATTTCACAGAAACAACATGAAAGCTTCTCCACCCAGCTCCTGCCCCACATGCATGAGTACAACCCTTAAAGTTGGTAGGGGCAGGGTTATGGTTTGGGGCATGTTTTTCTGGCATAATTTGGACTCTTTAATTCATGTGGAACAACATCTGAATAGCACAACATACCTGAGTATCGTTGCTGATTAAGTTCATCCTATCATGTTGATGGAATATCCCAATGGAAATGGCTTCTTCCAACAAGACAATGTACTATGCCACGGTGCTCATATTGTGCAGGAGTGGTTCCAAGAACATGAGGGAGACTTTACCTTGCTTAGGTGGCCACCACAATCACCAGATCTCAATCCAATTGAGCATTTGAGGAACAAAGTTAAAAGAGCTATCAGGCAGCTGGTTCCACAACCATCAAATCTCACAGAACTGGACAGTGCTATTCATCAGGCATGGTGTCAGATTCCTCACATCACCTTTCAATATCTCATGGAGTCAATGCCAAGAAGAATCACTGCAGTATTGAAGGTAAAAGGTGGCCCAATGAAGTATTGATGGGATAGTCATAATAATATGGCCACTCAGTGTATATCCTATATAATAAAAGGCTAATATGCAAATTGTCCCCTTGACCAGGAGTTCTACCTGCAGACAGGCCGGCCAACTGCCTATGTCCCCTCCCAGGCTGGCTGGACTCCATCCATACACAAATTCATGCACTGGTGTGTGTGTGTGTGTGTGTGTGTGTGTGTGTGTGTGTGTGTGTGTTCAGACATCATAACAATCTGGCCACTTAGTTAATATATATACTAGAAACCCAGTGCATGAATTGGTGCACTGGAGAGGGGTGTCCCTCAACCCAGTCTGCACCCTCTCTAATCTGGAACCCCTAGAGCACATGTGTCAAACACAAGGCCCGCGGGCCAAATCCGTCCCGCCAGGCCTTGCAATGTGGCCCGCACCACGCTGTCATCACTGCACTCCGCTGTGTTTCCATCACAATGACAGTTTATGACTGTTCAGTAAACGATTCGGCCCGCGATTTAGGCTGGATTTTAGATTTTGGCTCCTTCTCTGATTGAGTTCGACACCCCTACCCTAGAGGGATGTCTGACTGCCGGTTTAGGCCCAATATCACAGGGATCTCTCAGGGATAGGGCCTAAACCTGCAGTCAAACATCCCTCTCACAATCTGGGACTGCTGGCTCCCAGCCACTCACCTTTCTGCCAGCCTGAAGACCCTCTAACAATTCCCCTGCCAGCCTAGTCAATTCCTAACCATTCCCCCACCAGCCTAATCAATTCCTAACTGTTCCCCTGCCAGCCTGATCACCCACAACTGCCCTCCCCTGCTGGCCTGTAGCCCCCTATAGCCCTCCCCTGCTGGCCCAGTCATCCCCAACTGCCTTCCCTTGCCGGCCTGTTTGCCCCTAACTGCCCTCCCCTGCAGGCCTGGTCCTCCCTACCTGCGTCCCCTCCAGGCCTGGACCCCCAACTGCCCTGCCCTGCCCTGCCAGCCATCTTGTGGAAGCCATCTTGTGACCACATGTGGGCAGCCATCTTGTGCAAGGGTCAATTTGCATATTACCTCTTTATTATATAGGATATACACACACACACACATAGATAGATATAGATATAGATATAGATATTGATATAGATATAGATATACATTTATAAAGAGATAATATGCTAATTTGTCTGTGACAGTGTCCCTATAATGACCAATTTGCATATTGCTTCACGCAGCAGGGGGTGAGCGGGAGGAGCCAAGTTCTTGGGGGTCTGAGGACAGGCCTGTAAAGAAGGAAGAGGAAGTGGCCACAGGCAGCTCTTCCAATCTCCCTGCAGACACCCTACCCAGCCCCCACACCCAGGGGAGAAGACCCAGCCTCGGGGGTAGCTGCAACCAGTATCTCAGACTCCCCATCTCTTCCTCCCTCCCCCGCCACTCCCACCTGGGCGCCCACAACAATAACACACCAGAGACCCCCGTCAGCGCCCCCAAAGCACCCAGGGCCCTGGCCCACCAATGCCGGTGCCCCCTCCACTGGAGCTGGGCACACCTCTCCTCCCTACAACTCCAGACCCGGGTGGAGGTAGACCTGAGCAGCCCTCCGGAGTCAGACCCTTTCCCCCCACCCCCTCCACAACAGCAGCGCCACCTCTGCAGAGGGAGTGGGAGCGCTGAACCTCGCTGGGGGCGCAGCTGAACCGCCCTCCTTGCCCGCCTGGCTCCGCCCTGGCCCAGCCCCACCCCACTCCAGGAGATCGGAGCCGTGCCCTGAGCAGGTGCAGCTGCAGAACAGCCATGTACAGTTTAAAGAACGGGGCCAAGCAAGAAGGTTTGACAGTTACTTCCCCTACATCCTCGCTGCCTCTCCTAGAGCCCTCCCCCGCAACTCTCTGCCCCCAACCAGTGTCAAAACTTTTTCAAAAGTATCAAAACTTTTTCAAATTATTGAAATTATGTAGATTGTAATTACATGACCACAATGCAACCCAACTGGAAATCACTAATAAAGTGAGAATTATACTCTCCTCATGTGTTTAGAAATCAAAGATATACTTCTAAATTACCTTAGCTAAACCGGCGATCTGGGGCCAGGCCAGCAGGGGGATGGAACCTGTGGGTTCCACACTTCAGAAGAAGAAATTATAAAGGAAATTAGAAAATATTTAGAAGTCAATAATAAGCAAAATTTTCACTATCTAAATTTACCAAATGCAGTTTAAACAGTACTAAGAGGAAAAATTATACCTACCTTACTTGTATGAGAAAAGCCAAAAATTAATGAAATAAGCATCACAAGAAGTCTGAAATATGTGTGTGTATGTATCAAAATAAAGTATAAATAAGAATATAATAAATATGTGAGTGGAAATTAGCAAATAGAAAACATGCAATAGAAAGAATTTTTTTAAAAGAGTTGGTTTTTTTGTGGTTTTTTAAAATAATTTTTAAAAATATTTTTATTGATTTTGTACAGAGAGGAAGGGAGAGAGATAGAGAGCTAGAAACATCGATGAGAAAGAGTCGTCTATCAGCTGCCTCTTGCACACCCCCCACTGGGGATATGCCCGCAACCAAGGTAGATGCCCTTGACCGGAATCGAACCCAGGACCCTTCAGTCCACAGGCCAACGCTCTATCCACTGAGTCAAACCGGTTTTGGCTAAAAAAGAGTTCATTTTGAGAAAAGACTCAGTAAAATTGACAAAAATCTGGAGAGAGTGATTAAGAAAAAAAGAGTGGAAAATAGTTAATATCAGGAATAAAAAAAGTAATAAAATGACTTTAAACATTTAAAATATTGAGGTATTATGCTAATAAGTATGACATTTTAAGTAAAATGGAAAAACTTCTAGAAAAAAAATAAACTGACTCAAGGAAAAAGAGAAAACTAAACAGTCCTATAACATAATCAAAATCTTTCTACATAGAGCCAAAACTGGTTTGGCTCAGTGGATAGAGTGTTGGCCTGTGGACTGGAAGGTCCCAAGTTCGATTCCTGTCAAGGGCATGTACCTTGGTTGCAGGCACATCCCCAGTTGGGGGTGTGCAGAAGGCAGCTGATCAATGTCTCTCTCTCTCATCGATGTTTCTAACTCTCTATCCTTCTCCCTTCCTCTCTGTAAAAAAAATCAATAAAAAATATATTTTTTTAAAAATCTATCTACATATTGTAGAAAACCTCAAGCCTAAATGCTTTCACTGATGGCCGCTACTGAAAAAAAAAAGTGCAAAAATGATGTTGCTGATGTTATTAAATGTACACATTGAGAATATTTTAGGTATCGGAGCTGCAGCCACCAAGTCCGGATCCTACATTGCACGCCACTGACGCCCACCCGCCGTGCACTTCCAGTTCCTTTTGGTTCTAAGTCCAAAATGACAACACTCAAGGATCAGCTGATTGTGAATCTTCTTAAGGAAGAACATAGCCCCCAGAATAAGATTACAGTTATTGGGGTTGGTGCTGTTGGCATGGCCTGTGCCATCAGTATCTTAATGAAGGACTTGGCAGATGAGCTTGCTCTTATTGATGTCATGGAAGAAAATTAAATGAAGGGATGATGAATCTCCAGCATGGCAGCCTTTTCCTTAGAACACCAAAAATTGTCTCTGGCAAAGACTATAGTGTGACTGCAAACTCCAAACTGGTTATTATCACAGCTGGGACACGTCAACAAGAGGGAGAAAGCCGCCTTAATTTGGTCCAGAGTAATGCGAACATCTTTAAATTCATCATTCTTAATGTTGTAAAATACATTCCCAACTGCAAATTGCTTGTTGTTTCCAATCCAGTGGATATCTTGACCTATGTGGCTTGGAAGTTAAGTGGCTTTCCCAAAAACCGTGTTATTGGAAGCGGTTGCAATCTGGATTCAGCCCGATTCCGATACCTGATGGGGGAGAGGCTGGGAGTTCACCCATTGAGCTGTCATGGGTGGGTCCTGGGGGAGCATGGAGACTCCAGTGTGCCCGTGTGGAGTGGAGTGAACGTTGCTGGTGTCTCCCTAAAGAATCTGCATCCTGATTTAGGCACTGATGCAGATAAAAACCAGTGGAAAAAAGTTCACAAGCAGGTAATTGACAGTGCTTATGAGGTGATCAAACTGAAAGGCTACACATCATGGGCCATTGGACTCTCTGTGGCAGATTTAGCGGAGAGTATGATGAAGAATCTTAGGCAGGTGCATCCAGTTTCCACCATGATTAAGGGTCTCTATGGAATAAAAGAAGACGTCTTCCTTAGTCTTCCTTGCATCTTGGGACAGAATGGAATCTCCGATGTTGTGAAGGTGACTCTGACACCTGAGGAAGAGGCCCTTTTGAAGAGGAGTGCAGACACACTGTGGGGGATCCAGAAAGAACTGCAGTTTTAAAGACTTCTGATGTCACACCACCTCACTGTCTGGACTACAGCAGGATTTGAGTTTGAAGATTGTGCATATTGTCTGTTTTATCTGATCTGTGACTAAGAACATCAGTTTCCTAAAGATAGACATAGTAATGGTTTACAAAACGCAGCATCTGCATCCTGATGCTGGAGGGTGGTTATCTTGTGCAATCCTAAACTGGTTAGTGTGAAATAATTCCACCTCCTCCAAGGCACCACTGCCAATGTTGCTCATGCCTCAGTTGCCCTTCAGACTAGATGTGTGTTCACTGTGTGCTACATAACTTGTGGTTCCTTTTTTTATAAGTAGTCACATCCTGGAATCCAATGTAAATCGAATATTGCATGTTTTGTGCATAACTGTTCTAAAGGCTCTTATATTGTGTACTGTATGTATCACATTAGTGTACACTGCCATATAATGTAGAAAGAAAAGTCTACATATAAATAATACAGCCAGCTATCCAAGTGTCATACCAACTAAAATGCCAAATAAACCTTGAACAGTGAAAAAAAGAGAATATTTTAAAGTATTGTATCCCCTTATATTTTCCTCCAGTACTTTTATAATTTCATTTTTATGTCAAATAATTTGATTTATGTATAATTAATTTAACTATAAATAATGAAGTAGTAGTCCAGCTTGTTTTTCCTCAATGCTAGTCTCGGAAAGAACTGAAAATAGAAGGGGACTAGAGATTTTTACCTTTCATTTGATACTTTTCTGGACTATTTTTTTTAACCAGGCATATATACATCTTTTATGATTTTAAAACTAATTTTCAAAATGATTTCCATCTTTGTCATAATCTTTATCTGAATATAGCTTATATTTTACACTCTCCTGGGATAGTTGGTGTGTGTTTTTTTAAGTTTTCCATACCTCCTCTCCCATTATGAATCTATTAATTCCCTGAATACTGTTGTTATCCCTCTTACTAATATCAAAACTGACGAGAGTTAGATGACAGAGGCCCATACCTGGGAACTCAAGTAGAGGAGAATGAGCACTGGAGCCAGAGTGTGGACAATGCCTAAATCAGATGTGAGAGGTACATGCTATTTCTGTGGACATGAAACAAAGATAGAGCTATGACCTTTGGCCAGATACTTTACGGAGTGAGCCTAGAAGGCCAACTTCAGTATGGCTGACTTACTCGGAGGCTATGTTAACTACAGAAGAAAGGTGGGTCCAAGACAACTGAGGAGGTTCTCCACATGACACATAAACTCACTTCTTCTTGATGAAGCAAGCAGCCCCATAAGATTGTGAGTCATGGGAGTGGGCACTGAGACTGCACTCAGTAACATTCGCCCTAGTTAAACACCAGGAAACACCTGACCCAAGTTAGCAGCATGGTTTAATATTCGAAGTGCCCCAATCAGGACTGTTGCAATGGAAGAAAGCAGTTAGCCCTGTTGTCTTGTTCTTCTCAGAAGCTGTTGTTGGTGCAATCTAGTCTCAGGTCACAGAGCTGAAAAAATGAATCAAGAAATTGGTCAGGTTGTGGTGTCACCAGGTGTGGCCCCCACATGGAGAATGACACTGACAAGTTTGCGGACCTGCACATGCAAATGCTCTGCCAGCGAATGCATTATTGGCACCAAGGACCACACCATCCAGATGAGTATGGCTAAAGTTGACAAAGTAACAAGCAGGTTCAATGTCCAGTTTAAAACCTATGCTGTCTGTGGGACTTTTTGCAGAATGGATGAGTCAGATGATTCCATTCTCTGACTGGCCAAGGCCAATAGCATCATCTCATAGATGTGAAATATTTGTCGTAAAATAGAATAAAAGTAAGAAAAGAAATAGCTCTCACCACACTTTCAAATATGCCAGGAAGAATGCCCTACTCTAGACTACAGCCATCAGCAGCAGAGGGGACTGGGCAGGGACAACAGGTCACAGAACCATACTCCACCAAAGAAAGGTAAACACAACACCAGCAAGTCCCAAGGCTTTACATTTACTGGTAAAGCTCTTTATTGCTATTAATAGGGTCCTGGTGCACGAAATTCGTGTACAGGGAGGGGGGATCCCTCAGCTTGGCCTGCACCCTCTCAAAACCTGGGACTCCTTGGGGGATGTCTGAATGCTAGTTTAGGCCCAATCCCACAGTTGGACATCCCTCTCGAAATCCAGGACTCTGGCTCCTAACCACTTGCCTGCCTGCCTGCCTGCCTGCCTGGTCACCCCTAATTATTTGCCTGCCTGCCTGATTTCCCCTAACCACCTCTGCCTTGGCCCCCACTGCCGCAGCCTCATCCAGAAGGATGTCTGGAAGGTCATTTGGCTATCTGGTATAATTAGCATATTATGCTTTTATTATTATAGACTAGAGGTCCGGGGCACAAAATTCATGCACGTAGGGTAGGGGGTGTCCCTCAGCTCAGCCTGCACCCTCTTCAATCTGGGACCCCCCAAGGGATGCCCGACTGCCTGTTTAGGCCCAATTCTACCACAGGCAGTCGGACATCCCTCTCACAATCCAGGATTGCTGGCTTCCAACTCCTCGCTTGCTGCCTTCCTGATTGCCCCTAACCTCTTCTGCCTGCCAGCCTGATAACCCCCTAACCACTCCCCTGCCAGCCTGATTGATGCCTAACTGCTCTCCTGCCAGCCTGTTTGCCCCTAACTGCCCTTCCCTGCAGGCCTAATCACCCCCCAACTTCCCTCCTCTGCCAGCTTGGTCACCCCTAACTGCCCTCTCCTGAAGGCTTCATCAGCCCCAACTGCCCTCCCTTGCAGGCCTGGTCCCTCCCAACTGCCCTCCCCTCCTAGCCATCTTGTGGTGTCCATCTTGTGTCCACATGGGAGCAGGATCTTTGACCACATGGGGGCAGCCATCTTGTGTGTTGGGATGATGGTCAATCTGCATGTTACTCTTTTATTAGATAGGTAGAGGCCTGGTGCATAGGTGGGGGCCAGCTGGTTTGTCCTGAAGGGTCCTGGATCAGGGTTCCCTTGGGGTGTGAAGTGGCCTGGGAGAAGGGCTTATGGTGGCTTTCAGGCCCGCCATGCTCCCCAACAACCCAAGCGAAGGCCCTGGTATCTAAAATTTATTTATCTTCTACAATTGAAACTTTGTAGCCTGGAGCAGAGCCACACCTTCTGCTCACTCTGTGGTGGCAGCCATTTCTGCTAAAATTTATTTACCTTCTATAATTGAAACTTTGTAGCCTGAAGCGAAGGTCGGCCAGGGTGTGCAGAAAGCTTGGCTTCCTCCATTGCTGGGGAAACCCAAGCCTCCCTCCTACTCTCTCTATGGCTGTAGCCATCTTGGTAAAGTTTATTTGCATATTTTCTCCTGATTGGCTGGTGGGCATGGCTGGTGGGCATGGCAGAGTGATGGTTAATTTGCATATTACTCTTTTATTAGATAGGATGGTACTTGGAGACTACCAGGCATCCAAACAAACCTAAACATATCTCTCTTTGCTCCCATATATTTACATGGAAGTAGAACTCCTGAAGGAAGAAAGCCTGAGTCCTTTTGATATCAAGCTACTGTTGTGTGCCTGAGGAGCTAGTGTGTCCCTGACTGAGACCACTAGCATGACCAAGCTACTATGCATGGCCTAAGAGGGAGAGAAATAGGAAGTCACAGTGGAATGAGATCTTAGCTGATCCTAGAACTTGCACTGAACCCACCAGCCCTAAATTAGGTTTATGCCCACTAAAAGGGCTTGGGGAAGCTCTGAATGGCAATAGTGGAGGCTGTGCCAATTGTTATGCTGTACTCCTTTGACCATATATAACCCAGGGGAAAGGTCATTGCACGTGCGCACACGCATGCCCGCGCACACGTTTTATAACTAGACATAACCCAGTAAGAGATGGCGCTCCTCTTACTGGGAAGGCTGAGGGGGTGATGAGTTGTCAGGTGGTGAATGGATTCTTTATCAGGCTCCTTTTTCTGAAGTCTTAAAATTTCATTCACAAATGATTTGAAGTCCAAAATGGGAGCAAAATATTAACCTGCTCCCACTTCTTTTTCTGATTTCTAGATATTCTTAAATAGCATTCAATCATTTTTTTAAACAAAATTTATAAAGATTAAAATTTAAGTGACTTATACCACTTCTCAGACATTTGCTATTTTTTAAAATAAATCTTTATTGTTGAAAGTATTAGACATTTGCTATTAACTATAAATGAAAGTAATATGATACCTGGATATGGTTAGAAAAGTCAAATATTACTTAAAGACATATATTTTAAAAAATTAAGCCTGCCAATTTTATTTCCCAAAGGCAGCCACTACTTTTTTTTAAATGTATGGTCACTCAGAAAACTATTGAGTGCGTATATCATTATGCATATCTGTGTTTTTATGTATGTAGATTATTCTGCACTTATTATAAAAAGTTTATATAGACCATAATCTAATTAACTAATTCCCTATCTATACTAATAATACAGGAATATGTAAATTGTCCAGGATGCTGTAACGTCACGACCACTCAGCAGGCTGTGCATGCAGCATACCCCAGTAAGGCTGCTGAGGCTTTCATCTGTCCCTTTCTACTCTGAAGACAACAGGGTTCAAGGAGGAAGGGCTCCAGTTCATTTTCTCAGCACCCAGCTAGGAGGCGTCGCTGAGATGGCTCTCCCTTCTGAGTCCTGCGCAGGACGGGTGCTCTGGCCCAGGAGCCCCAAGGAGAGGTGGAGCAAAGTGCTTTCCCTCCAGAGCCCGGCTCTTCCTGAGAGTCTGGCGTGGAGGGCACTCTCCCAGGGAACCCAGAAATCCACCTCCTGGGGTGACTGAGCAGTAGCTGGGCCAGGAAAGCTGTGGAAAGGTAGGCCTACCCATGTGATTGTGTATGCTGGCAGAAGCCACACAGCTGCCATAGTTGAAGTTGTCCTCAATGGAGGAGCTGGGGTAGCAGGGATCAGAATTGGCTATGTCAACAATAGAACCCCAGCTCCCCAACAAATAACACAGAGCACACGACCTCAATGGTTCTTGGTCACTTCCTGAGCAGCAGTCAGCCCTGAAAGTGGATCAAACCTGAAATCTAAATAGGTGACCTGACAGAATGGAACCCAAACCTTTGCCATGGCAGAGGAGCTCCGGCCAGCAGCAGGGGCCAGGGCACGCCAGAGGGGTTTTGTTGAGGGGTCCTGACAGGCAGCCCACAGTGTAGTGGGTTAGGACCTCTTCCTGATAAAGCAAGGTTACAGGTTGGATCCCTGGTCAGGGTACAGACAAGAAGCAACCAAAGAGTGCATAATAAGTGGAACAACACACTGTTGTTTCTCTCGCTCTCTTTCTCTTTCTAAAATAATCAATCAATAAAAATTAAGATAAAAAAAATAAACCCTCTGGCTTGCAGAGTTGCTAAAACAGTTAGAAAGCAAAGGCCCATCCCTTTCTGTTCATTCAACAAACACTTCATATATTCCTTCAATAATCACACTGGGGATGGGTGTTTGTTTATTTGTTTGTTTGTTTGTTTGTTTGTTTTGGTTAATTCTCACCTAAGGACATTTTCCCATTGATTTTTTAAAATTATTGATACTTACAGAGAGTTTAAGGGAGGGAGAAAGACAGAAACTAATGGGAGAGACATCAATTGGTTGCCTCTTGTTGAATCCTCGACCAGGGTCCCAGATTGAGCCTGCAACCCAGGCTCTGGATCAATATCCAACTCGGTACCCTTCAGTCCGCCTGCAGAAGCACTATCCACTGAACCAATCCAGCATTTTTTCTTCTTTTTAAGTCCTCCTCTAAAGATATGTTTTTCTCATTGATTCTAGAGATAGAGGAAGGGAGAGGGAAAGAGAAAGAGAAACATCGATCAGTTGCCCAAGCAATCCAACAGGGATTGAACCCATAACCTGTGTATGTGCCCTCACCTGGAATCAGACCCATAAACCTTTGGTGCATGGGAGGACACTCTAACTACTGATCTAAACTGACCAAGGCCTGGAGGTACATTTAAATTCTTTTTTCAGATCTGCTCTGGCCAGGTGGCTCAATTGGTAGAGTCTCAACAGATGCACCAAAGGATTTCCTGTTGGATTCTAGGTTAGGGCACATACTTAGGTTTAGGTTAGATTCTGGCGGTCTACTGGTATTTCTCTGTCACATATATGTTTCTCTCTCTAAAAATCAACCTTCAAAACATCCTCAGGTGAGAATGAAAAAGACACCTATTTAAAAATTTTCAGATCTAAGATTTTATTTGCTTCTTGTTAAAATTTTATTTTTCACTTACAGTTCACATTCAATATCCTATCCTATATAATAAAACCCTAATATGCAAATTGACCGAACAGTGGAATGACTGATCGCTATGAACTGACCACCAGGGGGAAGATGCTCAGTGCAGGAGATGCCCCCTAGTGGTCAGTGTGCTCCCACTAGGGGCTTATGGCTGGCAAGTGCAGCGGTGGTGGCAGGAGCAGTGAGCTCTCTTTCTCTTTCTAAAATAATCAATCAATAAAAATTAAGATAAAAAAATAAACCCTCTGGCTTGCAGAGTAGCAAGCAGGTGGGCAGTAAGGACCGAGGGGTCCCGGATTGCGAGAGAGCACAGGCTGGGCCGAGGGGACACCCTCTCCACCCCCTCCACCCCCACCAGTGCATAAATTTCATGCACTGGGCCTCTAGCTAATAAATATTACATAGTTTCCAAATAGGTTATTTTGTTATGTTTTAAACTTTGCAATATAAATAATTCCAATATAAACAGTCTTGTACATACATGTTGGCACATTTTTACAAGTAC